AAAATCAAAAAAAATTTTTTATTAAATTGGCTAAGCCACAATGTCGATCATCCAAATTCGGGTTTGTCCACCATGCTCCTCCCCTAGGGGCGCGTGGTTGTTTGTTCAACTATCCAATCAAAGTAATTGGCTAATATCGCGTGTAACAAAACCATACTGATATGTTAACGAGAAACCTTAACGAATATGGCGGTTTTTAACCATTTATAAAATTATTAACTCGTTTAATCGTATAATAAAAATAAATGATTAATGCGGTTAAACGACTAACGGTTCCAATCTTTAGTCAACAGAATAAACTAATAGTTTACATTAAATACAATGTTCTTTAGGTACCAAGCCAGATCTAAATAATATCCACAAGCTTAAGTAATCTTTCCGGGCATGTTGTATGTAGTGATTTGAAACGATTGGCCTATAATCGGTTAATCTACCCGAATCGAACAAAATTTCGGTTAACCGATTGTACATCCGGTTGAGAATTGGGTAATCGGTTGGCAGGATCGATGATATAATCGATATATTATGAAAATGATATAAAGGTTACGAAAAGAACATAAAAGACGAGCAAGTTGAAACAAAAATTGAGCAAAGCTCCGAGAATTTCCAAAGATAAAACGAAAAGTAGAGATAGTTAATCTCAATCGATTGACAACCGGTTGAATAAAATAATTCGGTTCGGTTAACCGATTAAAGAAATTTTTCTCGGTTCATAGGTTCTATTTTTCAAACCAAACTTTTTTACATAAATCAATTTTCACTTAAGACACAAAAGTAATTGTGTTAATAAAATTTTGCAGTATAGCTCTTTAAAGTTTGTATTTTCCTATGATCTATTATAAGATTTACAACACAAATTCATTTTCCAAAGATCTTTTGTTTTGTCATTTTCCCATATTATAGCTGTTTTCAAAAAGGTGTAACCAGGTGCAAACACAATATCATGGATTTCCTTGATTTCCTTGATTTCACAAATAAGGGAATCAAAGGGAAATGAGGGAATCCGTGTGAATTTCCCAAGATATAATAGTTTGCACCTGGTTACACCTTTTTGAAACAGCTGTAAAAAAAAAACGGAATACTCAGGCACATTACAAAACTAAGCTTTCACAAAAATTTTGCTATCACCTTTTAAACTTTTAAAGTATAGAACAAATATTGTAAAAAATGAAACACAGGATTTCTAAGCGTCCAATAGGAACTTGGGGAAAAACTAGTAGATCCGTGTTACAGTTGATAAAAAAAATAATAGGAAAAAATCTTATTGGCCGATGAGTTGATAGTTTATCAATCTCAAACTTTTATCGTGTAAAAGTACATCCTTCATTAAGTAACCATTTTTCCCTAGAATAAATTCTAAAAAAAATGGGCAAGGCTAAAAAAGAAAAGAATAGAGTTATTAGAGCACAAGGCCAGAACGGTCTGGCTACTTCAGCAGTGGCAAATAACTTGAGAGTAAAAGGAGAGAATTTTTATCGAGATGCAAAAAAAGTAAAATTTATTAAAATGCTCAAAGGGGGGAAGGCAATAAGGAATGCAAAAGGAAAAATTATTAAATCGGCACCTTATCAAAGCAAAGAGGTTACAACCGCAAGAGTACAGCCAGATAGACGATGGTTCGGTAAGTTAAAATGAATCCAATGTATGATTAAGCTTGGGTTCTTGATCGATGAGTAGATACATTATTTCCCGTTTTAAGTGATGCTTTGAGGTTATTTGATTCATAGCTTTCAGATCTTAGAGTCTCTATTGATGTTATTAGACAATTTTTCAAGATTTTTTTATAATCACATTTTCACATTTTCACATTTTTCAACATTAACACCAATAATCAAAATTATTAATAGGTAACACTAGAGTCATCGGCCAAAAACAATTAGAGGCTTTTCGCGAAAGCTTGGGAACAAAAGTTAATGATCCTTATCAAGTGTTACTTCGGCAAAATAAATTGCCCATGAGTTTATTAATTGATTCGGCAAAAGTATGTAATCCACTTTTTACAATTAATTGATACGCTTTATCGTCATTGTAAGATATAAATGTCCCAATACACCCGTGTATAGATATCACGAATGCATATGGTTGACACTGAACCATTTTCAGACACATTTGGTCCGAAGGCACAACGAAAACGACCAAAATTGAACGTTGGTTCTTTAGAAGATTTAATGACCAACACTAACCAGTCCTTGGAAAATTATGAAGAAAAAAAAGATCCTTCATTATTGTCTAACAAAATAACTGATTGGATTGATGAAGCAAGAGATAGTGTATTTTCAAAAGGACAATCCAAGCGGATATGGAACGAGCTATATAAGGTATGCTACATTTTGTAAATAATACATGTATATATGAATGATCATTAATATTGCATAACATACGCTATTGTTTTTGATGGGTGTATACAGGTCATAGATTCATCAGATGTCGTAATTCATGTATTGGATGCTCGTGATCCCATCGGTACACGATGCAAAAATGTGGAACAATATTTGAAGAAAGATGCTAGTCATAAGCATCTAATTTTCCTTCTGAATAAATGTGATCTTGTACCCACTTGGATTACTGTAAGCTCTATATTTTTTTTGTGTATTGAATTTGACCTACTATACACAACAATTTATTTTGTTATTGTCACTTTGGTGTATCGCTTTGCCATAATAAGTCAGGGTAGCTTTTCCCACTGATTACTAACATCAATGGTTTAAAAGTAAAAGATTATCCGTTAAAGTTATGGCAGATCAACTTGCACCTTGCCTCGAACAATCTTGTTCTAAGTTTGTTCTAATAAAGTGTGCTTGTTCTATGAGTTGAAAACTGAGAATTTATCCCCCCTCGCTTTTCATAGTGTTGAACCATACAAATGTCTAAAATAATTACTTAAATAAATACATATAGGCAAAGTGGGTCAGCCATTTATCCAAGGAATGTCCTACTTTAGCGTTTCATGCCAGCGTAACAAATTCTTTCGGCAAAGGTTCTTTGATACAGTTACTACGACAATTTGCTAGTCTCCATTCCGATAAAAAACAAATTAGTGTTGGTTTTATTGGATATCCTAACACAGGAAAAAGTTCAATAATTAACACTTTAAGGAGCAAAAAAGTGTGTAATGTGGCACCTATTCCTGGTGAAACGAAGGTAAATTACTAAGATATTATTTTTCTTATATCACTATAAATTTTAATAAGATCATTCGCATTTACACTATTAATAGGTTTGGCAATATATTAATTTGATGAAGCGAATATATCTTATCGATTGTCCTGGGGTTGTTCCACCCTCCATCGAAGATACCGAAGCAGATATTGTACTTAAAGGAGTCGTAAGTAAAATAATAAATTTTAAACATTGCATTGTTAAATCATATAACGATATTATTATTTTTAATATTTTAGGTTCGTGTAGAAAATTTAAAGACACCAGAAGAATTTATTTCCAAAATATTCGATCGAGTTCGTAAAGAATATTTGCAACGCACTTATGAAATACGTGAATGGACAGATCATTTGGATTTTCTTGACCAGCTTGCAAAAAAATGTGGTAAGTTACTAAAAAAAGGTGAACCAGATATATCCACAGTATCAAAAATGGTATTGAATGATTGGCTGCGTGGAAAAATACCTTATTTCACTCCACCACCCGAAAGTGATAATGATAAAAATGAGGAAGTTAATACCGAGGTAAATTTTTCGAATCTAGAAATAGGGCCATACAAATTTAATTACTTGGTTTTCCATAACATGAAACTTTTAAATAGACCCGGCCGGCCGGTCATATATAAAATTTTTTAAGATTTATCATAAATTCTGGGACAAACTAAAAATTTGCTCGTTACCCGAAATCTCTTTAGTTTCGTCCTATTAATCATCTAACTCTCCGGAAAATACATCGCTATCTCCGGACTGAAGTTCCGAAGACAATGACATGATTCCGAAGAGTTAGATGGCCTTTAGGACGAAACTGAGGAGATTTTGGAAAACATCAAATTTTTAGTTTGTCCCAAAATTTATGAGAACAGCTGTAAAATATATAAAAAATTTTTTTAAAGTTTTCTAATTTTGACCCGGTCGGGTTATGAAAACCAATTACAGCTGTTTTCATAAATTCTGGAACAACTGAAAAAATTTCTGATGACCGAATCGATAAGTTACCGAGTCGGATTCAATAAGTAACCGACTTCGGCCGAACTCAGCAACTTATCGATTCGGCCATCGGCAATTTTTTCAAAACAGCTGTAATTACCGTATAGTCACGAAATAACGCGCAGGGGTGTAATTTCGAATTTCGGCCTAAATTAAGCTTAATTCGGGCCGCAATTCGAAAT